ATCACTACCTAGGTTCATAAGTACTCTTTGCTTTCAATAGCTGCACATGACTAAATCATTTCATGGTTATTAAAATATATTGTAATATATATGTATATAAATTTAATTGTGTAAGTGTGTGTGTGTATGCCTTTCTATAAATATTTATTTTTACACTGCTGTAGCTTAAACACACCTAGACTACCCATTGTTTCTTCTCACCTACTGTTGATTTGTTAATTCTAAGGTTGCCTGTAAGAGATTACTTTTAGAAATAAGGCCACCCGTTGTACCTTTTTTTTTTTTTTTTTTTTTTTTTTTTTTTTTTTTCCGTGCGGAAATCCCCTCGGATACCACCTGTCGGTGGCATGTCGGACTCGAACCGACTAAAACCGCACGCCTTCGCCGGGTACTAATAGCCGGGGAACCAGGTATACCCTAGAAAGGAAGGCCCTGGTGCCCCGACATACCTCGGGTCATCTACAGACGAGTAGACGACCCCCGCCCCGTGTGGGAACCCCATGTTCCCTGTGCTCCCTGAAAGCGAGCGCGCTTCGCAACGCGCTCGCCGCCACCCCGGCCTGCTTCTGCTAGGGTGACAGATGGCCTCACCTGTCACCCCCAGGCCTGCGCTTATGGAGGACGAAGGTCGTTCTGCGACCTCCGGCGCCTGAGTCGCCTGCGCTGCCTGGCCCGTGCCCGGGCCTGGCGGGCCGGGAGAGTTCTAAACCTCTCCCGGTCCCGCTCCGCCGTCTCCTTCGCGAGCATAACTTGCTCGCAGAAGGAGACGGCAGAGTTCCACGCACTCTCGCTCCGCACGATAGCCGCAATCAGGCTATCGAGCGAGAGAACTCCCACTCCGATGGCCGCCACGAGGTCTCGCCTCTGCTCAACCCACGCCGGGCACTCTGCCAGCGTGTGGAGAGCCGTGTCCACGGTCTGGCCATCGCAGTGGTGGCACTCAGGCGTTGGCTCCTTGCGGATCAGACACAGGTGATCTCCGAAACATCCCTTCCCAGTGATCACCTGCGTCAATCGGTATGAGAGGGTCCCGTGACGCCTCTCGAGCCAATCCTCCATAACGGGTCTTACCGCCGCAATGACGGCGTGCCCGGCGCTCGGTTGCCCGAGTCGTTCCCTCCACTCCCCTATGATGACCTGGCGGAGTTGGGATTTCCGGTCATCGATTTCTCGAATCTCGGGGGATCGACCCAACTCCTGCGCCTCCTTGCGCCACTGATACAGAGCCGCAAGGGCTCTCGCCTCCAGGTCCCATGGTGGAGTTCCGGCCAGGAGACTCGCCGCCTCAAAGGAGATCGTGCGGTACCCCCTTATGATCCTGATGGCCAGCATTCGCTGCGGTCGTCGCAGTATCGCGACGTTGCTGGCCTTCAGGGCCCCCGCCCATACTGGGCACCCGTAAAGGGCCATGGACCGCACAACCCCCGAGTAGAGTCTCCGGCAGGAGTCATCGGGTCCCTTCATGTTGGGCAGCAGCCGCGCCAACGCACGCGCTGCCCCAACCAACTTGGGGACCAGACCTCGGAAATGATATCCGAAGTCCCATCGGCCATCGAGTACGAGCCCCAGATACCTGATCGAGGGCTCGATGCCGATGCGACACCCGTTGTACCTACATATTCGTCTGTAATATTTATTTATTTTATTGTAAGTGGTGTACAATAAAGCATATTCTATTCTACTCTACACACATACTCGTACTTCTATTATAAATGTAAAAGTGGTAAGGTACGTGAAAAACTAGATTAGAGGGATTCAACCAATTCGAAATAACCTTGTGCAGTTCGATGCTCCCCTATCATCATTGTATCGTCAAATAAACAGCTTAACGTCAACCCTATTTATGTATATACGTATGTATTTATGTATATTCACGAAATATGGTGTAACACATTTTATTGTTTACCATAACATAATATAAAAACTAGTATAAGTTACACACTAAACATGAATTTCAACTTTACTAGCTATACTACATATATTACTTTATAATCAATATTGTGTGACTACTCGTATAAAACCGCAAAAAGTTCATATATCTCTAAACATGTGTCTCAAAAAATATCTGTTGTTCTCGATTCGAAACATTCGTTAAGTCTAAGCTCCTTATCGTTGTACACACCCTGTCAGCAAGTTCCTTAATTATACTGTTCCTACACGTACCAACCCGGGCCATGAACGCTACGATTCGGCTTCTTTGGATGGCATTAAACTTGTTCAGTCTTGCCTCTGCAAACATTGTGGAGGCGCTACAGTAAGGTGCTAGCCCCATAAGGTGCCTATATATATTATTGTAATGAACACAAATGCCATTCAAAGACCTTTTTGCATATGCAGTTCAGAGTTGACACGTGTAGAAATTCTAACAGTATTTTCTAACTTGAGTCTGTACATCAGCATTAAAAAATCTCCTGGGTAGGTACCATATTGTCGACGACTGAGAGCGCTCGATGCTGGCGGTCTATGTCAGCATCATCTCTCATGTCTGACGTTAGTATGTGACCAAGGTGCTTGAACCTCCCCACCACGTTAACTATCTGGCCTCCTATCCCTACCGTAGGAACGTTTCTTAATCGTCTTTTTACACACATACTTGTCAAAGCGGGAGATGATAACTCCTTACCATTACCCAGTATGCAATAATTTACAATTTACTGTACCTAAATAATTTTAGAAATTTTATTAAAGAAGATTAGAAAATTGAGATTTTTTACGGAGTAGCTATTAGTCGTATATAGTTTACTTCCAGTGAAACAGTATTTTTTTTAAGTTTTATTAAGGTTAAACCTTTTTAATATGAACTAAGTTCACTTATTATCGATACGGTAACAGTAGACATTGTATATATAAAACTCCAAAAAATTTAGTATTGGGTAAACAGATCCAAGATAATAATTCCGTAATTAACGCGACCTGAAGATATTACACAGCTTTGATTTACTTTAAATAAAACTATTAATTTATTCAAGATAATAAGTCTATACAAAAAAAAAATTTGACCGGACTGACTGATTTATCAACACAGACCCTAAACCGCTTGGGCTACGAACTTGAAATTTTAACAGCTTATACTTTTTGTGTGTAAGCACCCACTAAGAAAGGATTTTTGGCAATTTCACCCCTAGGGGTAATTTAGGATGAAAATGAGGTCATTTTCAAAGTTAGAAACACGAAATAAGAAATAATCGAAACGATGCAGACTGCACGGATGGCGTAGTGGTTTAAGCGGTCACCTGGCCGCTTACTACTACGCCGAGTGTTGTAGGTCTGATCCCCACATGGGACGACACTTTGTGTGATCCACAAATTGTTGTTCTGAGTCTGGGTGTTCTTTGTGTCCGTTTCATGTGTGTTTGTAAAGTCCCTCGCGACACAGGATGTATTCCTAATGCGGGAGTTGTCTTTAAAAAGAAAAAATACGCTAGCAAAGTCGCGGATAATAGCTAGTAGACAATATAAAACGAGAAAGTTAAAAAAATACATTTCCAAGTTTAAAAGTAGGTACCTACGTAGCGTTGTACAAGGAAAGTATTATATACAAGCTCCAATCGTTTGCTTGTAATGAATATTAGCAAGTGAACGTGAACCTATTCTCTGTATGAAACATCAAATCCCAAAAGCTATCAATATGCCCATATTGTTGAGCACAATTATAAGAAAGGATTAATTGCAGTTCATCTTGATTCGTCTGGACGCTCTGATCATTACAATGCTTATTATCTGCTTATATGCAGACACACAGTCTTGTCATTAAAACATATAATGCACCATCAATATCCTGATGTTCGTTTTACTTAATAACTTCTTTATATAATTTATTACTAATATTTTATTGCTATTGTCAAGATAAAGCGTTACGAGTTTTCATTTTAAACTTATAAAACAATAAAATAAGGTCTATTTTAAGTTGGTCCGGTTTTCAAAACAGATATTCATGTAACAGATGATTAATATGATAATGACAATAACTTTAAATATTAGAGATTGCGCAGGAAAAATTAGGACTGACATATTTTTTCAAACTTACTGAAAATGTATAACAAGGCGATTATTTTATAATTTTCATAAATCCAGTTGCACTCTCCAGGTGAACTATGATGTTTGACGCGGAACGACTGCCTTTAAGTCTTCACAACCCCAGTAGGTACATACTAGGTGATATTGAAATTCTGTAGAAAGGATTTTTTACGCCGGGACCGGCGGCTTACCATGCTCTCCGAGGCACGGAGAGGAATGGTCACCCATCCATAGACTGACCTGGCTAGGATTGATTAACGTTGAAATGTGTTACAAGTGACCTACTCGGTTACCACTTAACCACTTAAATCATAACCCTTTTTTTGTCGCAGTTGTGTACAAAATACGTTTTAACAGTAATCGAAAAAAATGGAGTAAAGTGTTTCACTATCAACCTTCGGACTTCATCATCAGACCACCGTTAGTAAACCAAATATATAAAGCTCATCAAAATCAATAATAATAATATGAGCTTTAGACTCAGAGGGTTAACTTATAGTCATTGTTGATTGATTTATGATTTTGGCGTCACGTCATCTTCAGATTGGTTCTAAAACATGTATACCTACGACGTTTCATTACACAATAGATACATCTGAAGTTTCATTTCGATACGATAATTAAAAGTAGGTCGACAATGAATTTTAAGATTTGTTTATGTAGTTAGTTACAGTTAAAAAACTGAACACTCCGCAGAGCGGAAACTTCTGCTAAAGCTTTACTACCTAACCCGAATTGTGATTTTTACTATTTTATACATAAACTACTGTATGGGTAAATGTAACAAGTGTTAAAGTATAATAAACTACACATTTCACACATAAATAAATATTTACACTAATGTAACGTCATTGTCAGAGAGTAGTGAACAAACTTTTAAATTTGAATGCTTATACACCGTAAGTTACCATAGCAACGGCATTCCATAATTATAACCAAATTCGTGCATTAGACGCCCAGAATCATGTGCTAATTGCACAGGGCTACCACCAGTCGCGACGCGAGCCTGACAAACGACTTTGATCAATCACGTCCGTCCTCCGTGGGTAGCCCTGGCCGCGGCTGCGACGCCCGAGATTTATATTTGTAGCAACCCTAGCTCCGGAGGTGCTACACCGTATGTACCGCTGTCAATATTAATTGTTATTCAATTTTAAACTTTACCAGAGTGTAGATAAAAGTTGTACATATTTTGTGTGCGTGTAGAATATTTTGTGGAGTTACTGGATAACCATTTGGTGAGAAGCCGATGGGTTTATGCGTAGGATATTATTTTATGACGTGCGAAGTGCTGCATAATCTAATCCTGTTTGCTGAGCTTACAGTCCTAGGAAGAAACATTAAATTTCATGTACAAGTGAAGTTTAAATGACGGATGTTTGTTTTATAGTTTTAGTAAATAACGATTAATTGAATTTCGAACAACAAACATGTCATTGAAATTCTAGTCACTTTAAAAATGTTAAATTATTAATAAATAATTGAGAGTTTGGCTTGTTGCTGTTTTATGGAACAAAATTTAACATTACCTTTACCTACCTACTACCTACCTACAAACTTATTCTTATCTACTCATTGTAAATATTGCATAAAAGTTATTGTAAAAACCTTATATGTTATGTTGTATTTTTTAGTCGCAGTGACGGCTTTAAAAAAAATAAGTTCAAAATTAACATTTGCTCTTATTTTCTTCTATCGAGATTATGAACAAAACCTGACAACGGTATTAATGCTTCAGACCTCGATACCTTAACATTTCTGATATAATCAAGTCGCTACTATAATCCATGTACAGTTAGCAAGAAAACTTGCTTAACAAATCCGTATTAAAAACATCTATCACACACACAGACGTCAAACGTCTAAAAGGTCCTATTTTTTATACGTCAATAAGAAAAGTATTTATAAAACTGAACCTTAAGTATGTTTTGGTAAAAAAAAAATTTTCTTCGTTTTACATACTTTAAAACATAAAACAGTGGATGGGCATTTTCATGAACTCCTTCCACGGTTGAAGTAATACTTAAAAGTGTTAAAGTAACTAAGTGTAAAAACTGGATCGCAATACCAACGAAGGGAAATGTAAATGACCTTACCTTACCTAAAGTGAAATGCTTCACCCATAACTTATTTAATCAGGCGCAACTTATTTCCATAATAATACATTTCACCTTGGTAAGCGACAAAATTTAAAACCGCATAATGACACCGAAAAAACGGTCTCAACGTTTTTACTATAACTTTTGTAATTTACAAGCCAATTAAAATAAAAAATGGGATGCACCCCCAGCCACCCCTTTAATTATGATTTTTTGCATTTTTTAATGATAATAAATTTGCTTGAATGCAGTGGCGCCGTTGTTTACGCCCAGGACATACACTACTTTGTCTTGTTATTCTCGCGATCAAGTTACAATGTATTGTTTGCTTTTAATTCTACATTATAAGTTTGATAAATACTTACATACTACTTTACAAATACTTGGCCAAGTTAATTAAAGATGTTAATTGAATATTTAAATCTTAGATATATTTTAGAAGGAATATCTCGCTACGAGAACCAAAGAAATAGATATCTATATCGTCGATAAAGATAAACTGGCAATCAGTAGAGTGTATAATGTAAAAAATCTTCAAGCATTGCAAAAAAAGCTTTAGTTCGGCCGTAATAAATTTAGCATGAGAATCTTTGCTTGTAATTGTCAGTATAGTTATATTAGTAGTAAAATAAAGTTCTTAGCTAACAAAGTCTGTGTTACGACCCACCCACTAATTGAACCCAACCACGGCTATGTATGCGTTTTTACGTAAAAATTTCATATATGCCACCGTATACAATGCGCGAAACGAATCAAGTTAAGTACGTATAGTACAACGAGCGCGCGGATATCTATGCAAGTCACATAGTTCAAAATTTAAATATTTGAATTTTTGTTTATAACTTAACCACGATTAACATTGCATGTTACATATATACATACTTCACGTTTTTATCCTCAAAAGAGTAAACAGAGGCGTGTGAAATGCCCACATTTTGCCCCTGGCCCCATTTATGTAGTAGAGGTTGTCCCTATTGCTGTCAATCGGGCACCTGTATTTCTAAATAAACAAACTTAAATATTTCTAAATACAATATATTAAAGATGAGTTACACCCAGACAAAGAACAATGATCGTGTTCATAACACATTATTTGTCCTGTGTAGGAATTGAACCCACGACGTCAGGATCAAATACTAGATTAGGATATAGTATCTTAGAAAAATAAGAGTCGCATATATGTTTATAACATATTAAATATACAACTATATATATTTATACTAAGTTATTACTCATTACTGTACTTATACGTTTCTTTTACTTCAAAATTTCCTTCCACACGAGTTTACGGTTTTCTACAAGAGATTGCTGCTTGTTTATAAAACCGACACTTGTACATCATCTCCACATCACATCAACAGCCTTTAACAGTCCACTCTGGACGTAGGCCTCTCCTTAGAAAGGAGGTTTTGGCCTCCTATACCACGCTGGCCAGACGGGTTGGTATAGGGTTTGTGTCAAGTTTTCCTTCTCTTTGCAGTGATGTTGTCCTGCGTACTTTACTCCCTTAGTCGGCTCTTACGACACCCACGGGATGAATAGGAGTGGTGACACTCTGAATTCTTAATCCGTCACCACACGGACAACACTTGACAAGAACGGACACTTGTACAGCCTTATGTATTTATCTCTTTACATTTAATTTGCATGTATTCTTTGTTATTTTATTTTACATATCGCTTTTGCTAATTAGTTATTTTTTAATTTAACGATAGAAAAAAAAATGTATTTTTAATGATTTTGCCATTACGTTTTCGCCTTATATTCTATTAATAATACTCGCTTTTAAAGTAGCCCTAAAGACTTCTGAAAACAAGCAATACACAGAACAATAGGAGCTTAAGTGCTATACTTTTAAACTGTACAACAGCTTGTGTGAGGAATTCTCTATCAACTACTTTGTTTTTCTTTCAGAAACAAGAAGTAGCGATTGTACCTACCTACCTACCCTAGATAATTGGGGCTCAAGTCTGAAATTACCGTTGTGGCAATTAGGCAATCTAAATCATTGCAAATATTTAAAAAAACAAAGTCACAAATCACTTTTTGACATCATAGAGGAATTTGTGTACATATTTATGGACCTCGGTATATATGTATTTATATATGTTGCATGTATTTAAGCGTATTAGTTGTATGTATACTGTATACGCATGTGGTAACCTTATATTTATTTAACTATTCATTTTTTTAATATATTGTAATAGTACATCGCAGGCTATCGTAATTTAAATTTGACAATATCCGTATAAAGGTTGTCTGTTAGAGATCGCCGTGAGTGATAAGATCGCCTATTGTTATACTGAAATTTATATAATATCTGTACAAATAATACTGCTGTGGTGTACAATAAAGAGATAAATAAATATAATATAAAATATGGGTGCCTCATGATTTGACTGATCTGCAGAAAGAAATGCGTGTTGAAACTTGTGTTGCCTTATTGAATCGTGACAGAAATGAAAGAATATTAGATCGAATTGTGACATGTAACGAAAGTAGATTGTTTACGATAACCGTAAGCGAAAAATGCAATGGCTGACCCCAGGTCATACGCCGCAACAGTGTCCTAAAGCAAAGCTTACCAAAAAAAGGTGATGGTAACTATTTGAGGGTCTCATAATGGTGTCATTCACTATAGCTTTCTCAGGTCTGGTGAGGCAATAACAGCAGATGTTTACTGTGCCAAACTACGAACAATAATGGCGAAACTAGCAGTGAACCAGCCCCGACTCGTGAATCGATCTTCACCATTATTGCTCCATGATAACGGAAGGCCTCATACTGCAGAAGAAACCGTTATAACTCCACAGGAGATGCAGTTAGAAACCATACATCATCCTCCGTACTCGCCAGACCCTGTTGCAACGGACTACCATATTTTTCGAGATTTAGACATGATAAAAAAAAAATCTTCCCAGGAGGCAGTACAAAATGCTTTCACACAGTTTGTCGAATCTAGATCCCCATAGTTCTATCATAAAGGCATAAATGAACTGCCGTTTAGATGGCAGCAATGTATAGATAATGAGGGTAAAAATTTTGATTAACTAAATATGTAACATCTTATAAAATAAACGAGTTTAAATTTTTCAGCACATAATTTTATACTTCGACCCCTAATACTTGTAGGTATTTCGACATTCTCTTAGTGATAACGCTTTTTTTCTATTACTAGTCTATCCCCGCTGTCTTACCTGTGTTTAGGGGTCATTGGTCTTAAGCCTCGTAGCGTAATATTGCACAACGTATAAGCTTCCTCAAAAATTCCTCTACCGGATGCTAAAATAATAATTAAATTCAGATTGATAGGTCAAGAAATGAGCACCTTTCAACAAACATATAAAAAAAATCTCGGCTTTATTAAGTTAGATAAGTTCCTCAGCGGGAACCTTAACCTAAATATGGCACCATTTTGCTTCTTGACTAAGGCTTTTAGGTAGCTAGTAAGGTTGTCACAATCCAGTTTTGCCAAGTCTGACGCCTTTTTCTCAGGACTTTTCACATTACAGCTTTTTAATATAATAATAAGTGTAAGAAGCATACTTCCATATGCTTGGTATAATAAAAAAAGATGGTACTCTATTGAGGTACTTTGAAAATATTAATTGGACCAAAAAATAGAACTGGGTGCACTTCGGTTACCTACTCAAAGGAAGCAGATACAAATTGAACGATATCCAACGGAGGCCGATCGACTGCATACCTCACAAAAAGTCGAATGGTTAATGAAAAACTACACGCAGTCAATATTTGATGAGAGCCAATTTAAATGTTCGTCCACTTGTAGACATCGTATAGTTCGATTCTGCTGGGCTCGACCGGCCCCGCATGTGTGGGGGTGCCGGCCCCACCGATTTCCCGAAAAAAAGAAAAAGAAAGTAAAAATAAAAATGGCATGCACGCCCGCCTGTGTGTGCGTGAAAAAAATGCAGATATAATGCAAGTAATAATAATAATAATAGGCGATCGCCGGGCCGCGCGCCGCCACCCCAACACCACCCAATTTTCATTCAAATGTGCTCGACGACTTTTTTTAACTATTTTTTTTCGCCGCCAATATTTTTTCGGGATTTTCCATTAGCAATGCGACTGTCCGAATAGTCCGTGTTGTCCGGTGAATAAGTACTGTGTCCGGTCTTTTTGTACAATGCTTGGTTAGATAGTAGATTTCATTAAAAGTTAACCTAGGAACCGAATGTATTATTGTTACAAATATCATAATAGCTGTAATGGCGGTACTAGCACATTGTGACGAGACACGATGTAATTAAAATTACAGAAGTTTACTTCAACTATTTGCACCGACTTGTGATATCATCGAGTATATTTTTAGGTTAATGTATTGCCGACGATACTAAGAATTGAGATAATCACAATTAACCCTGTAGAGTCGTATCTTCAAATAGATTTTCCAAGTGCAGAGCCATCTTGTTAATTCAAAAATACAAGCGAAAAAAACAAGTGTTAAGATCAACTGGTGAAGTTAGTAGAAAAGATTACTAGCGTACACACTGTCTTCTTGTACATACTCAATGAAAATAAGCCATTCTAGCTACCAGCGTTTAGCGGTCGATCGTACGATCATTAACAGCTTTACAAACCCGTTCATAAAGTTGAATTTTGTTTGAATCTAATAATCGTGTAACAGTAAGTCCGCGTGTTCGCAAGCTTGTTCGAAATTCGCAACATACAAAATGTACGGCGGGCCAAAATTTGGAAATGTACGATTATTAATTTAGCACGAACAGAAAGTAAAAATTAAAATTATGCCGGAAACACATGAAACGGAATAGAAAAGCAAGAGTGTGCGTTTTCACGACACGAGACAGTCCGACACGGCAACACGACGAACGCGTACGACATGACATTCAATTTAAACTCGGACGACGGACCACGCGTTCAATAATTAACATAATGTACTTTTTCTCCGTTTTTTCACTTCCCGTTTGACACTCCATCACTCATGGAAATTCCATTTTCAATGCTGCTATATGAGGGGTGGGGCAAGAGGGGTGGTCTTTGCATCCGCGCAATGGACATGGCGGTTTTGGGGAGAGAGGGTGGACGAAAAAAAGATTGTTAAAAAGGCTGGCCCCGCCGCGGCGGTGTGTGAGTGCGTGTGGGTAAAAAAGCGCTCACTAATCGATACTATAGATTCTGAAGCAAGTAGGTTGCGCCAGTACCGGGCCGATTGGTCGGCGTCGAATCGCATAGCGATTTTTTCGCGGGGAACTAACGAAGCGGTGAATGTTTAGTCTTTGCGAGAACCTTTTGAGCCTGGGATGTCGTCGTCTTTTTGGCGAGCTACCGGAACGGCCGGTACTTGAGGATCGAGCGCGTTTATTCGCACTCAACTTTGACCGCGTTTTCAATTTTAAAGGCCACGTGTTAGTTAAGTAGCGGTGGTAAGCTTCAACTCTTTCTTTTTCGTATCACCCCTTGAATGGAACTCATTGAAAGAAGAGTGTTATTTAGCATTGTTTTTATATCTTGCTCGTCCATGAAAATGGTGTTTAAAGCCTCTTATGAGTTATCATATTAGTATGAGGAGAGCGTAGCATTTCATTGCTTTGATAGAGGTCGCGGGTTCGAATCTCGCTCGAAAGTATAGTGTTAAATGTAAGAGGGTGCCTAAGTCCTACTTCTACTTGGCTGCTTTTACTATTACTGTTTAACCACACTTATGCGCGATAATTATGTTCAAAAAATGATTATAAGATTAACAATAACTCAAAAGCATTTTGTTGACAATAATCGTGTTATGAACTTAAGATTTTATCGGGCTTGCAAGAAGAAAGGTGTAGCAAATTGTCCTAGTGTCATGAGAAACATCTCAAACTACAATAAAACCAGTCATCTTATCGAAGAAAGTTGGATCAGGGTAGGTATAAGTTGCTGGTTTTTTTGTGATATAGGGGGCAAACGAGTATAGGGGTCTCCTGATGGAAAGTGAGTGCCACTTATTTGATGGTGTGGTCACCTACTATAGTACGCTTTGATAAAAATGGATGGCACAGTGGTTTAAGCGGTCACCTCGCCGCTTCCTACTCCGATAAATATTGTGGGTTCGATCCACACAAGGGACACTTTGTGTGATCCACAAATTGGTGTAAAGTCCCTCGCGACACAGGATTTATTCCTAGTACGAGAGTTTTTAAAAATCATTTTTTTTAATTAGAACTCTCGTCCGTTCTGAATTCAAATATAAGTTTTCAATTTCCGAAAAGCTTCAACTATTTTATTTCACATTTTAAAACATTTTTATGTTTTAAAAAGTGAATATTTTACCAACACTGTGTCGAAATTGGCATTATGGCCAGTAAAAAAAGTCTAAATTGAGGGTTATGTAATGTTTTCAAATACGGTTGTCAGTAACAACATTTATGTCACTAGGTCAGCCTTAATTCGGATGATGTTAATCCAGCTTTCAGATACTTTGCATAACATGAGAGTTAATTCTCTGTTCTGACAGAGAGGAGCGTACCGGTACATCAACAACTTCGAACTTTAAGTACGTGTGCATCGGGTCCACAAACCGGATATTTTGTTAAATATAGATTTTTGTTTATTATTTTTATTTATATATATTTTGCACAAAATGCAATTTAAAGGAAATAAAAAGACATTCTTGGTCTTAAAAAAATACCTGTGTGAATTGCGTGATTAACCAAACTGTACATGTATACGCTATTCCTTTTCTACTCATAATTTGGACGGTTTTGCCCACAAGATCTTTTAATGTTTGTAACAAAATCAGAAGGTTAAAAAAATATAGTGAAGTCTTTTTATGCCAAGGATGGGATTTAATAAAACTCCTCTAGGGAAAATCATGACAAATTTCAATGTCACTTTTAAAGTATCTCGACATCATAATGTAGGTAGACTTAGGTACATTACATTATATAGTTTACGGATATTCACGTTTTTTTTTAATAATTGTCGGTTTAATATTAGATTGTCAGGCCAGGTGCCAGGCTTTCAAGGTTTCTAATTGGGATCGAATTAAAATTTGATCTTCGTCTGTAACTTTTAAATAATCGTTTTTATAGCAATGACAGCCAACGGCCCAATTGTGTAACACCACAAAAGAGTTTGTAAAATGAAAAGTGTACTCACCTCATTCTTGAGGTTGATGGGCTCTTGCTGCGGCCGGGGCGGCGAGTGCCGTCCCACCTCCGCGCCCTCCAACATATCAGCCTCGCATCCCGACTCGTCTGCGAAGAAAAATATACAGTTTATAAGGGGAAGAGATTAACTTAAAAAAAAGTTAAAAACATTATTAGGTTTCAGTAAATTATTAATAGATTTGTATGTAAGATAAAAATATGTTAATAATATTAAAACACATATGGTCCACTATGAACGTCACTTTTTAAAAGTAAACAAAATATATATCCAAGGATCGCTGCATCAATATAAAAAAAGAAAATGTATTATTCGCATTAACTAGGTACTTAATTTCACAATACTGAACAATAAGGTCCGTGTGGTGAAGGAGGAAGAATACGGAGTGTCACCACCCTTATTCAACCCGTGGATGTCGTAGGAGCCGACTAAGGGAGTAAACCACGCATTATAACAGCAATGCAAAAAGGAAGGAAAACTTGACACCAACCCTATTCCAACCCGTCTTGCTAGACTGGTATAGTAGACTTAAACCTCCTTCCTATGTCCTGGAAAGGACTATTAAAGGCTGTTGTGTGATGTATGTGAACAATAAGAAATTAATCCCGATGCTTAGAATTTAAAAATCTAGGTACTTTGGGTATCTACCTATAAAGTAAACTAATTAGAACCTAGAACTACACCATCTAATAAGAATAATCCAATTTTATTACCACTATAAAATCAACTTGTAAATAAAACAATAAACAAAACAAAACGTCATAAACATCTTAAAATCTCATCCACTTCAGCAGGTGAGACGTCCTCGTAAGTAAACAGCGACCTACACCAATGCGACGACACAAATAGGTCAAGACACGTGTCCCGACTCGGCCCGTCTCCTTTGTTCCTACTTTCGTTCATTTCCGTTCCATTAATACAAATATCAACCTTGGTTCTGCAATGTAAAGGTTCAAGTTTGAATACAGGAAAAGTGCACTTACGCAGGAAAGAAGTGTTCTAATACTTTCCATATATTCCCGTTAAAAGGTTTTTAGAAATATAAACCTTAAGGACTATAACTGAAGGTTTAGGATGAGGTGTTGAAGTGGCACGATTACGAATGGAAGAAAAAGTATCAGCTGTTTGATCAAAAGTTAAGTTAATTGAAGGTCGGATTGCGGGTCTGTGTGGCGACTTTGTTGCGAGGTTTTTGTATTGTTAGTAAGCTATAGGATTTAAAAAAGTTATAGCTCCTGAACCGATTGAGTTATTCAGTATTATGTACTCGTAGAAGTATGTTAGACACCGTCTAGAATTATAGATAGAGCTTTAAGTTTACAGCAATATTTTCCACTTATACGTGCTACATGTTTAAAAAACACTAAAACTGCAGGTAAATAAATAAAATGTGGAACGATAATTAATTTGCCACCATTTTTAGTGGTTTTACTTATCTGTAATGGAGTATCACTCTTAAGCATACTTGAATACACTCGGAAACGTAGCACACATACATATAAAAACCTGAAACCATATAGACGTTAAATTCTTGTTACCAGATGAAATACAAATGGTCGTGTAAAACAATAGGTACGATACAGTCACGAAAAAACAAAAGGGAGCTGCTGGAGAAGATATCTTGGCATGGGCACTGCGGACTTAAAGAAATTTCTTTGAGATCGACATCGACACATGAAAGAAACAACAAAAAATCTGCTTGCATAGCAGATCGACAGGCAAATTGTTTCATCCTTTGATTAAGAGGCCCAATTGGACGCAAAATCTGCCACAACCGATATAAGCTCGTGATTACAACCGTACAACTTTAAAAAATTCCACTCATAAAATCTGTTTATTCTCTGAAAATAGAGAAAAATATTGCAAAAAAATATTCATTTCAGTAGCTTTAAACGATCGTTTGATATTTTGTATTCGCAGAAGTATATTTTGCAGTTACTTAAATGTTTAAAGCCATGTATTTTTGATCGATCCGAGATGAGATCATCCTCCCGGGCCCTCTCTGCAGCCTCCTTGCGCGAGATGACGTCATTGCAGAAGGATGTGACCGTGGTAAAATAACTGTCACCTTCTGGCCATCCCGGCTGGAGCACCTCCACGGTGGCAAAACCAGCACTTGGAGCCTCCAGCCGGGATGACCAACAAGCCATCATGACTCGCGTACCTCTTCGGGCGGGGGCCAACCGCCGCAACCCGCCCGGAACTGAGCCGGCCGCCGATAAACTTCAGCGAGCACCTCCGCCTCCGAATCCCACAGGGGAGTTCCGGCGAACGCGAATGCCGCCTCCGTCGACACGGTGCGGTAACCGGTACAATAGTACATCTTCTGTACTATTGTATTATAACCACACTACTGATAAACATACTTATACTATATTTCTATATACATTCATACTATAGATAAATTACACCCAGACAGAACAAATGATCATGCTCATCACACAATTTTGTCCTGGATGGGCATCAAACGCACGACCTCTGGCTTAGCAGTCAGGGTCACTAACTACTAGACCAACAGGTCAGTCTAACTGCTCCATTTTATTAGTATTCTCTTGAATCCTTTCAATTTTTCTTAGGTCTTGGTTCGTGTTGATGGTCTACTAAGTGATATTCGAATACGCAAGAACTTGATTGCAAGACCGACGCCATAACGATTACGCTACTGCTTAATAAACTTTTAATGGTAACACACCGAACAGAGTAACAAAATTATTATTCGAATAAATTCAATTGTTAAATTTAGTTTCTACTGGGTAAGTTCTCTTAATACGTTAGTACAACGTCAGCGCAATAATACTCTTGTTTTGTAACACCTCTTGTGCAATACGGTGTCTAGCTTAACACTGCGCAATGCGTATCTATTGTAATATATTACTTAGAAATACGGAGCGTCAACGTTCGTGATAGAGGCACTAATATTTAGCACGTGAAGGGAACTTGTTGAACTTTAAAAAGTTTATACGTAGAGGAAACGTAGGAGGAAAACGTAGATGCATGCCACCTTGTTTTTCTCATTCTGAATTAATTAAATATTCTTTAAATAAATTTTCTTTGTAGAAAAATAATATCTAAATAAAAAAAAAAGAAACGATTGAAGTAAGTTATAAACTCTCTCTCTCTTTATAGAAGAGAGAAAGTACCCCTTCTATATCACCGCTGAACCAAAACCTTCAGGATGATCCTGAAGGTTGTATAAAAGGAATTAAAAACGATACATTTTTTTTGGAAACGTAAATAAAATAATAAACTAATCATAAATAATTAACTATACCAATTATTTTATAAATGAAGCATCTCTACCATTGCTTTTGTTAAACGATTTATCTAAATAGAAATAATTTAAACATAATGAATTATTTCTCAAAATCGAAGTTGAATACTAAACGAAGATATATTTTGGCACAAAACAATTAAACATCGATTGTTTTTTAAGCAACTTTTTCTAAAAAAATATTTTGGGAATTTAAATATATATAATTATTGCGATCACGTTACATGTACATAATCCTATAAATTCCCGCGTATGAACAGAATTATATATCGTGGAATACAAGAGCTTCAAAAAGTTATAAAATATACTAAAATGCTTAAGATAAAAGTGTATCTAAAGTTCACTACAAACTAAGACACACCAATCATTGTTCTACAAATAGCCGGTCGAGGCTAAGCAACACAGACCCATGCCAAAACCTAGCAGCCGTCGAATATGATTACTCCTAATGCGCCATGCGATCGAGGGGGTGAGGTTAGGCTGTAGGGTGTGTGGCGCGGGGTAAGGGGCCAGGGGGGTTACTGCGTCGCGCCGTGTTCCTGACCGAGCAGTAAGTCTGGCTTAATCCTATCGGAAACGCGGGCCCCCATTGAAGATCGGCAAGGGCTCAGCATGAGGTAGTAAAGCGACGACATGTCTGAAGATTTCGAAGATATGTAATCTGTATCACCGTTCAACGATGTTAAAGGTAGTACCTTTAACATCGTTGAACGGTGATATGCGGTGTTTGCCTAACATGATATAGTGTATATAGATGCATAATTAACTTTTAAAAAAGGATCACCGATTTGAATGTGCCAACATCACGATGAATTCTGATAAACAGTATGCTTCATTCCTGAATTTTTCGACCTTTGAGTTATTATTTTTTTCTTTAAAGAATGAGACCAAATAGAAAGATATCCTCCTAAATAAAAATAAATTTCTGAATCGGTTCATAAATGACGGAATTCTGAGGTGACAAATAAAATAAAATCCTACCAAATTGAGAACCTCCTTATTTTTTTTTACGTTTACGTTTTTGTTACGTAGCTACTCATTGTTTACATAATTATGTTTCCTGTTAAGTTCCTTTATCATCACTTAAAAGTTCTTTAAAACTCCAAAGAATAAAATTTTATAAAAAAACAGCAATAAGTATTTCAACCCAATGGTAATTTGAAGTACATATGGAATAAAGAAACACGAAAGACTAATGAAGTTAATCTTCAGAATATTATCGATAAACTCTTCGACTTATCCTTCACTATGCTCTCTTGTGAACCCCGCCTATGCATCTAGGCGGCCAGAGGGGGACATTACAAATTAATAGCACAAAGACCGGCCACAGATCGCCACTGCGAAAATTTACAGGCACCAGACACTTACAGCACTACACGATAAAGTCTCGTAGCTTTAGAGTGAGTAGATATTAACGATTTCTGATGCCGGCTCGTATGTGGTATGTTTAGGAATTTCTCTTATACCTACGACAATCACTCAAGTTAAATATAGATACGTTTTACTCTTTGAATTACCAATGCAGTATATGTCAACACCTAATGTACCTTTCCTAAATGACAGAAAGATGTAATTGACAACAAAAAAAAAATTGTGTTATTGAAGTTCCGTACAACCAAATGTGTACTCTTCTTACACTTTGAATTGCGGAAGCTAAAATTAGCGAGCAATAATTGAGAGACATGCGGGTGAGTGGTATGGTACTTTTTGGTCACTAAGTGTCGAGATTTATAATACTTTTAAATGTTTTAGACCCCTGACGCAGAAAAACGAATGTTATAACATTGACGTCTCTGTTTGTGGCATCGTAGATCTTGAACGGAAGGACTGATTATATAATATAATAATATGCTGACGCAATCGAGATGATTCTTAGGTTAAATTTTGGCTCATTCTCTACTTGACAAAAGGGTCTGACTAACTTTCACAGATCCTATTGATTTCAAATTTGGTGTACCGTTACTTCGGTGGTATTTTCAAGTTATGCAGACCATGAGCTGATGCTGTAACATTCAAAAGTCTGCAGGATATTCAATCCCTTAGAAACAGATGTAGCATGTTTGGGCTCATAATAGTCTCATTAAGGAGGTGTTAGATAGGAGGTGATTGACACTTTCCTATATAACTTTGTAAATAAAATATAGTTACACCTATCACAATCACGGGTGGACTTACGCGTTAGCACGCGTTCGTGAACTGCGGACTTCGGTAGCTAACCCCGCTTACGCCCCGTACTCTCCATGTTCAGTCGTAGTTCATGGTTCATTTAACAAATAGAAATGTATATGATATTATGAAACAAATATGAATAACTTTCTCAAATCATTGTTATCATGTATTTTCTAGTACTGAAGTACTTCTCTGCAATATAAGGACACTGTATCGTTTTTAGTTTCACCCAATAAATATGAGGCAGTATTTTGGAATTTTTTAAACTAATAAATTACCTATATCTGAAAGTCGTAAGTGCTTTTGTGATTATTTTTATATGATGTGTTATATTTTTTTTATTCATAGAAGGTGAGTAATACATTTCATACATAGTTCGAATGCGAATGATCGAGATGGTATTAGATTAATTTTCTGTATTTTAATGTCTTAGTCGATTACTCGAAACCCTTTTTGGTTGATTTTTTTTATATTTTCTTTTAATATCATTTGTGGAAGCTTTAACGACTGCCTCTCTACAAAAGTAAGCGGACAAATTGCTTCTAAAACAACAAAAGCCGACCGGAAAAATTCACAATCGTACCGAATCATTAATCTCAGAAACAAATGGAAATCGGCCGACATCTGCTATACTCGGCTTGAAAAAATGGCGGCTATAGTCGACAGTTGTCACGTTATTCTCGACGGGATTAATTAGAAATGCGATTAAAAGCAAACAAAACAGGGAATGGTGAACTTAAATTAATGAAAAATTACCACCCTCCGAGCACTCGTCAACTCTTTTTTTTTAACGGGGTCGCTCCCGCGCATTAAGCGGCTTTAATTTGAATTCGGAATTAGAATTACGCGCGTTTTATAATTATTGTTTTTTCGGGCAGTGACGGTTGATTTCTAATTCTAACGAGGGTTTATTCGGAAAGTCACTTATGATATTTTAGGTTATGAGATTGAATTTTATTCTGTTTTCTAATGTTAATTTTTCAGTAGCCTGCATATTTTAAATAATAATTATACTAAAGGTACTCTGTTTTTAAAGTTAAAATTATATATATATGTACACACGGATATAGATTTAGATGTAAATATATTTTAAGTGATGGGTAATGTAGTATCAGGCAGGTATACTCGTAGGTTAATAACATCATCATTTTAAAATTGGCCTATCCTTTTGCCCATTTTCTTTAGGGTTGGTGCAATGCGTAACAGTAGAAAAAAAATTGGCTGGTTTCTTTTATGGCTGACCGCCTACACAACTGTCTTACGGCAACCCTAGAAGATAAATTGGGGTAAAGAAAAAGTATCGGATTGGCAAGCTGAACTGAGACCACTAGAATTGGGGCATTAACCGCCTTTTAGAGATGAAAATAAATTTAAACTAGGGTATAAGTTTTTTCTCAAGATTAAGTTCTAGTCTCTCAAACGGCCTAGTTCCGGTAGGCGGGGACAAGGCCGTTTAAGATACTAAAACTGACTAAAACCGCAAACGTGAACCGTAAGTAATGAGACGGTAAGTCAATGGTTCACTCAACGCTAGACCGTGAGGTTACAAGGGTGCTTTATGTTACATTACTCCCCCGGCTTTAATAAATATTATTTGTGTTCTATATCTTTTAAATTGGTGTTCATTAGATACCAATAACTAGTTTTGATAGCGGTTTTTATACGGTCCCCATTATTAGTATCATACACAGATGTTCAAGTTCCAAGTACAGGCGTATTTTTAGTCCTTCAGTTGTAAGAGTATAATGTCCCTATCTGGCCAGCTCGTATTGACTATAACATTGTTTTTTTAAACACAAAGATAATTAAGTAAAACAATGTATTTAATTTGGTGCCATTATACAAACTTTACAGAGGTTTATACAAATCCCATATATAAAAGGTGTGCCAACCTTAGTTTAATTTTTTTTAAATCCTACATACTATCTAATTTAATAGACGCCATTCTCGAGCCCCTACTTTAAAGTGGTGTGAGTATAAGAAACTTCAGCCACAAATATAAGAATAATGAAAACCGCGAACAATGTAAAACAATAATAAGAAGATAATAAGTGATTGGGCCCCACGTGAAGGAGTGAGTGTCATTGTGACAGAGAGCTACAAGCACCCTTTATACAAGTGCACACCTCCGGGGCACGTCATTTGTGAACTTTGATAGGTACATGCTTAAAGGCAGTATTGTTTGTTTAAGGGTCTCGACATAATTATATTCCTAATAAATTTTTAAGCAGACTCAGAATATGCGTTATTTTTTAACGCCATTAGTAATCCAAATAAAGTAATGCAAACATTGCAGCCAGTATAATAATATCGAATAATATAATGAAATAATGATTATATCATGAGAAACCTAATACAAGTGTATCTGATTCCCAACTAGTTAAAATTATTACTATGGTGACCTGCTAGTAAATATACTTATATACCTATTACTACATATTATAATCATAGATAGATTACACCCAGACAAAGAACAAATCAATCAGGGCCTCAATTCTGCTATTTTAATTTTGTATCAATAGACTGTCGATGGAATGTCGTCGGAATAGTTTTGCACATTACTTATTCCACTGACTTGTATAAGACCAATGGCCTCCCAATGACTTGTGCGTGATACAAATGTCGTCGATGTCTTTGTAATAATTTGGTAAACGTTACATTTTAAATTTGTAAGAAAATGATGCACTTAATTTTCATGATATGGCAATGTTGTTGATATCACCATTGATGACCTATATTACTATATCGATAGTCTATTGACACTGAATTTATGTTAGTAGAATACCGATATTATGAACGATGTCAGTGGCATCTCAATAGTGTATCAATGGAATGACAGTAGCTTGACATAAAATAGCAGAATTGAGAACCAGGGTGACTAACCACGCACCTAAGAAGTCCGTCATAAATGTCAAAAAGGAATATATGACAACTGTCATTCTACTACAATGTTTCTAAGGAATAATGAAAGAGTATTCCGGAGCGAGAAAATGAAAGAGAGAGAAAGAGATAGGGAAGTGACTGAATAAGTAATGAATAAGTCGATGAGTTTCGAGAGATATTAAGTGTAATATTTCTCGAAACTTATCTGTTCTTCCTTATTTTAATAATTTATGAAATAGGTATGAAATATCCCATCTTTCTACAATGTAATTTTTTCCCATGACTGTTAAAGAAATACGCTACTTATTTATTTATACTAACGATTAACTAATTAAAAATTTAAAATAATACCAATAATTCCAATGATAATGAGCTTTGCATATAAAAGTTCAACTTGAAATGCAAAACTAAATAAATATTGTGTATTGTGTTGTATATGTGAATAATGATGATCATGAAGTAATAACAGTTAAGCAAGAATATACGTATCTATTATAGGTATGAAGAAACAAGCGATATCGATATTAAAGGTTACCGTTGTTGGTTTGGTTCCGTCCACGAGACTAGTGAGTAAATATTTGAAAACTATGGGGTTAAGTTTAGTTATTTTGTTTATATGTTTTCATGAGTTGCTTGCGGTTATCAGAAAATT